TCTTTATTCAGTATTTTACAGCCAATATTTTTGGTACAGAGCAAAAATCTTTGCTTTATACATAATCCTTCCTTTATGTAAAGATATTTTCCATAAAACTCTCTCCTATAGTACAGAGGAAATATTACAATGAGTAGAATAATAATATATAAAAACTTTAAATGTGTAAGTCATAGTAAAGTTTAATTAAACAAATAAACAAAAAAACTACATACATTGTTATGTATTTAATTACTATGCTGGACCCTGATAACATTCCCACCCTCAAGCAGATTCAAAAGTGGTAAAATGACCAGACATTCAGTCTACAAAAAATAAAACTAATTCTTAAAAATAATAATAAAATCATGGGTTTTAGTGCAGCAATAATTCTAGACTTACCTATTGTTCAACAGTAGAGTCATCTGGGGATAGATAGCAAAATATGTTTTTAAGGTTGGCCTAGTGCTGGGGCACAGCCGTTAAGTCTAACCCTTGAAATCCAGTATGCAGGATGATATCCATGAACATTAATGAAAAATAAAGTATTGAGTTGTAAAAAAATACAGAGCAGGAGTCATACAGATTTATGAAAATTAATTTGTTAAGATATCTTGCATTAAATGACTAGTATTTTTTTTTTTTTTTTGTAACACCAATGTGCTCTCTTAAACTGATGTTAGCATTACCCCCTGGCCATCATCTAAATAAAAAAATGACAATAAAGAAGAAATGGTGAGGTAGGCAGAAATAGCACCAAAAATAACTGTGAATACTAGAAGTTTCCATTTTGCTGCAAGAGAGAAATCTGCAAGACCTGAAAAGATAATGACATTCTCATTCTTGGCAATATGCTGTCTTCCGAATACCCTGACTAGTACTGTGTGTGTGCATTCTGTACGTAATTACTTTATGAATATAATAAAATACAGAATAAATCTGGGTCAATACAATGCATTCGCTTTTCTATACAAGTCCTCTAAAAATAATAAAAAACATTTCTTCTTTCACCATGTTAATAATTCATGGAACAAACAGAACTGTAATGACGAGTTTCCATGGGAAAAAAATCTTCCATACTCTAATCATTCTAGCTGATAATGTGCTATCCTCATCTAAACTTAAGTTAGGAGTTGAAAAGCCATCCATTATTGGGACATGCCATTTCCCTATTTGAAGCCTAAGAGTATATTTCTCATAAAATAACATTATCCTTCTTTACTTTCTGGACTTTCCAGTCTTTTGGGATTGCAGATCAATCATAAAAGTGAAACCTGTACAATGAACATCAATCACTCACGTATTCCTCATTCAAACTTCAAATATCTCATGTTTCAAATTATCACATTTTGTTAAATGCTGCTAAGGCACCTTTAACTGAAAATATAAAAGCATGAAGGGGTTTTAACTTCAATGCCTCAACAACCATACCCAATGCTCCTGGGAGGAAAAAAAATAGCCTCTGCTTGAACCAAGACATGCATATTCCTTAAACCTAAAAAAGTTTGGGCTTTGGAATGATATGATCAAGGATGTCAGTCTACTCGCCTGTATACATGTAACATCTTTTTTTTTTTTACACCTATGTGATTTTGAATACAAATGGTTGTGTAACTTCTACTCAAAGCTTTTAGTTTTCTTTCTTCCCTTTGTTTTGCTCTTTGTAACATGAATCACTGGTCTATCTATAACACTGATTTTACATTGCCAAAGGCTTTCAATGATGTTATCATTACTTATTTCATAAATGTGATAGACATATAAAAAAAGGAGTCTGCAATATCAAGCCCTGCATAGATAAATGCAAGAAATGTGAATATACAGGCTTAGCTGAGTCTCTGCTAATTCATGAAACAAAGGAATCCTAGTCTAGTCACAACACTCTCCTCTAACTAAAAATATCCTCTTCACACTACCATTGCACAAAAGAGTAAAACAATCAAGATTTGATACCTGATAATCATATTTACATTATTACACTCTAAAGAAAGAAAAAATACTGGAAAGTAACTAGCACTTCTAAAAGATAACCAAGATTGAAACACACAGTACAAAATGAAATACCAAATATCTGTGCTCAAATATGATTCATATGATTAAATGTTCAAGATGATTCAATGTATGAAAAAATATGATTAATTCAGGTGATGATAAATGCCATAAAAAGAACCATAATTATTTGTATTGCATTGAATACTAAACACCTGACTTATCGGTTACAGAAATAGTCACCAAAAGGAAACCTTGAGGGTTCCTGAGAGTTGAGAATTTAGGTTAAAGTCTACAAAATGAAAAAAAAAGGGAGTTGTATACCAAACAAAGTGGATACATCTGAGGGATATAGGGAGCACACTTATTAGGTACTGATACCAATTTTAGGGTAACATATATTCTGTGATACTAAATATTTACAAAATTGCTTACACTACTGTATTTGAACATTTTTTTCTTCCTATGCACATAATGCAACATCTTACTGTAGGCAAAAGCAAATTGAATTAGGTCTTATTTCTCAAGGCTTTGAGGAATGTGAACAAATATTTTAACAATTTCAAATAATCTACTTGGTGAACTTTAACAAGATTGGTCGCCTACAGAACTTGGAGGAGTATTCTTAGAGCGTGCTTTGGAAAAATCTAATTTAAGGTATGCCTCAAACATACGGCGTGCCTGAGCTAGCACCTTATTCACATTGTGTTGCCGAACCATCTTGTCAAAGTGCATTGCCAATTCATTGTGGTCCATATTATTTTGCATGATGTGCTCGCGATGCTGCAAAAGAAGAGTTAGGCACAGGAACATGAGAAAAGGATTACCACCACCAAACTCTTCAGGGGGTGGCATTGTCGGCACGTGATTCTCCCCCGAGCTCATGGTTACTTGCCATCCCGTAACTTCAGGTCACCTCTTCACAAGAATTGACACTGATATTCATTGAAGTATCATTCTCCTCTGTCTTTTCTGATGTTTGATGTTGGCCGTTAGTCTTTGGTTTTAGTTGCTGTACCACAGATGGCTGCTCCTCTTGACATATTATCTGTAATTGTTGGTCAGTCTCTGGTGAGAGTGTTGCCACAGGATTCTGCCATACATCAACTTCCCCACCGTCTGAGTAAACTGGTACGCCAACATCAGCATCAGAATCCGAGAAACATCTTCTGGACTTATTGCTGACTTTCATGTCTCCTGATATTTGTTTAGCTGCCTCACTTTTTTTTCTGGTGGGAGTATTCTTGGAATCCTTGCTCGGTGAGCCAGGATTACTCTCGGTATCTGAGTCTCTATTTTTTGTCAGAAGCTGGAACTCTCTTAGATTTCTAATTTTTCTAACATTCCTAGTGGGACTATCTTCTGGAGATGTGTTTTCCTCTCTGATTCTATCAACATTAATGCCTGCCTCGCCACTAGGTATTCTTGTTCGTAGGTGAGATGTGTCAATGGGCTGAGACCATGTTCGACTTAGTCTCTTCCCACCTGCACTACCATCTGCACCATCACAGTCAACACTAGCCGCCCTTCTACTAAGTATGGCAGCAAGGCACTCAGCACTTCGGTTTGAAACACATGACCTCTGACGTCTTAGGGCACATACATTGGCATAATGGTTCTGTCTTGGTGTTGGTGGTGGCAGTGGGACCTCTGGTTCTTGAACGGGATTAAATAAAACCTGTAATGGAAGACTATTCTCCATTGTGATTTCATTAAGGTCACAATAATTACTAAAACAATAAAGTTTTTTTTCTCACTTTCAATGTACTTTTTAAACATTACTACAATTACCTTTAAGAACATAGTCATAAGAAAATGGATCTCATTTTCTTGTTATATCTTATTTATCAAATTTTGCATATGATCAAAAATTTTATTTTTACCTATAGTATCATGAAACTTCTCAAAACCTGAATCAACTGATACAATATGGAATCTATGCTTGAATCTATTGACTATATTTTCTGTACTATTGTTTTTAGTATGATGCAAGCTCCTTATTCCATTGTAAAAAAAATCAACTCTACAGCGGAATCTAGCATGATGAAATCAATCATTCTCTGCAATAAATATTTACTTTTATAAAAATCCCTTTACTCATTTCATGCAAACTTGGTGCTATAATAACTCATTGATAAAAGCACCTTATCCATTCAGTTAAAAGTTTTGCATTGTGTCTAATTCAACCCAATGATGCTGGGAAGGTATGTATATAAATGCTCTGTCCACTGTGATTTTAGTGTACTAATTTTGTTTACAGACAGATGGCTCTAGAATAGGAGCATCACGGGGGTAAGACTCTGATTGCCCACCTCAGTGTATGGCTAACTGTGTGAGTGTGGACCTAAGGGCCACACTCCTTTTTTTTCTTTTCTTTTTTTCTTTTTTTTTGGCCAAAATTACACCTTTATAGCTCTGGTCACAGCTTAAAAATGCTCCTACATTAACACTATGTGTGCTCACTTCACTTGCCAACCTCCCCCCCCCAAAGAAAAAGTTAAAATGATCCCCTGCTTTAAAAGTTCTTATTAGTAGGCAAATGGGTGTAACGTATCCGTGACATGCCCACTGTGAGTTTACTTGTTTAATTGTTTTAACACATAGATGGCTACACTTATACTTGTACTGCCCGTCTCACCCATTTACCCTTTTCTTTAAATACGAAAATATTTTACTTTATCTTATTTTGCTGTTACTAATGTTTATAACATTATAGTAATTATAATGTTTATAATAAAAATAACCACCAATATTCATAGCCCTATATTCAAGGAATGGGGCAATCCAGGTGCAGTCAGCCAGAGTAAGTAAGTGGCTCCTTGGTAACTAAATGCTTGTAGAGCCATCCATGTGTAAACAAAATCTACATAACAATACTGTGGCCAGTGTATATACCCAGCACCAATAGGTTAAATATTGCTGCATTTGGTAATTAGAGGAAGCAATGCAGAAAAATGGAAATATTATAATTATAATGGAATTCACCTTCATAACTGCCAATGTTGACTAAACACAGACTTAATATCATGAGGCAATCAAGGGGAATGTCTCCATGGTACTGGTGAGTGGTGGAGGGGTAGGGGTGGGGGTGGATGAATCATAAGCACTTTTGAATAGCAACATGAATAAAGGCCCTGACACACTAGTTATTTTTTTGTCATTTTGCGCTTCCATTTGACTTTGAGGCTTGCCGCAAGAACGCTTCCAAGACAGTTGGAACCGTTTTCCTAAACAGTCCAAACCATCTTCCCATTATGCTTCTTTAAAATACTCCAATAGTGCCAAGCTTGTTTACGAGGGCAAAATGTTTGTTGCCTTTGTTGTGTGAGAGGATCAGCCCATTTGCATATGGAGAGCTCATACAGAAATGAAAAAAAATACAGACTAGCGTGATAGGGCCTTAAAGATTTACCACTGATAAATGAATTTTCTCTCTCTGTGCTAATGCTTTAATGGGTGAAAATGACAATTATTTTTTCACATTTCCTACTAAAGTGGATCATGGATTCTTATTAAAGCAACAAATGTTTTTTCTTCTTTATAACATAGGAACCAGCACTTGAAAGAGAAATGAAAGTAGTCTCTATGGCAATTAAAATGAAGTTTCTTTTATTTAAATTTATAGAAAAAGAAAAAAAAGCTGCAATTTTTCTTTTTTTTCTTAATCCACTGATGATGGGATGAGGTCCTACCACACTATGGTAAATCACCCCTCATACCAGGAAGATATTTTCACATGTGTGGATGAGCTTCTTTTTTTCCCTAAGAAACTAGGGCAAATTTCATAAACCTGTGAGATAGTTTTATAAGGATATCAGTAATGCTTATGATGAATTTTTCATTGTATAAAACACAACATAATTTGACACAGCAGTACATAACAAATATATATATAAAAATTTGAGGCATGAATTATTGGCTGTACCATCCTTAGCACCCTTCTTTTTGGAGACAGTCCCCTTAAATTTGTAAATTCCACTTCTGCCATTTACTTCCGTGTATAACAACAAACATAACTGAGTTTGTTAATCCTTAGATATAATAACTGGGCCATATACAGTCATATGGAATAAGTATATAAAATATTACAATTTTCACATTTTAGAAAAACGGAAAAATAAAAGCCTTTTCTTAGCCAAACAAAAATTAAACGAAATAAACCTCATAGAGTGGAAGAGATTCTGCAGGTGGATCTGGAGGAAGAGAACTCCACAAAACCTCCAGCATGTGTAGAGCATCGTCAAATGCAAACTCTCGCTTCAACTCCAGCAGTAGCCACCGATAGCAAAACAGCAAGTCATCAGCCTGCAATAACATCATATGTAATAAGTTGAAAATCACGATGTATCTTCATAATCAATAGAAAAAATAGGCATTGCCATTATTTTTGTTTTGCTTAATTTAATTATGTTTAATGCAAAGTGACATTCATAGGCAGTGCTTTGTCTAAAATATTTATCAGTATAAAATTCACAGTAGAAAATCCACTACTTTCACTGACAAACCTGATGCAGCTGAAGGTATGTAAAATATTCCAAGTCATAGAAAATGAGAGCTTCTGTAAGGTGCTGGAACTTCAGAGTCATAGCATCCCCATCTATGTGGAAATTGGAATGCACCCGAGCCATAAGGGCACAGAAACAAACATATGCTTGTGCTTCATCACGCATGGTGACTAAGAGTGGAGAAGCCAAGTCACTCATTCCTTGACAATAACCAACAGAAGGATGATTCAGAGCATACCTGAATGTAATAGAAAACTACATTATTATTACTGTTACACAAACAAAGTAAAATAAATCAAATTTTACCATGGTTGAATTGAAAATATACTTAAAGCTTACAAAAACCATTACCTTTAAAGACAATTCCAGGAAAGGATTAACCCTTTATCAATTACTCCAACACTAGAGTAAATATTTACAGCTTTTATCTTACTCATGTTTTTTAAGTCATTCTAGACACTCCAGTTACATTAAAAATAAATAATATTTACCAAAGATTATCAAAACTAAAGTAAAACCTCTTTGAAATCCAGTGACACACTGTTATAGTGAAATAAAGTATGGCACAGCTCATACATATATATGGATTATGGTGTATCCGTTTCACTTCTACGTTTATAATAATTTTCACTTTGAACTTCATTACGAAACAATATATTCACCACTCTACAAGATATCATGTGCCATAATCACCTACCACTTGACACAAACAAATAAAAAGAAGCATTTTAAGGAAGATAACATATCAGAATATGCATGATTTAAAGTTTTGATTGAATTTATGCCTTGATTTCTGTATCCAATGTCTTTTGCAGAAAAGATCAAGAAAACATGTTCCTTCTAGAAGAGTTGAACTTCACATCAAATTATCCAGCTGCACAAAAAATTATACAATATGATTGTAGCTAAGGAAATATTATGGTATCCATCCATACAATATCATGAAGAGATGTTACTACTACTTTTTCATATCTTTGTGATAAAGTATCTTCAGATGGAATACAAAAATCACATAGTTGCTGGATATTAAACAAAAATAAAGTGGTTTTAGCATCACTGTTTGTGTGACAATTTAATCCATTGCCACCAGGAATATGTAATGCCCATTGTAATTTTGCTTATATTACACATAGATGGCGTCACAAGTGCTCAGCCACCAAGGAGTCAGCTAGTAGGCCTACATGATGTGACCTTTTCTTAAGTTTTGGGAAAATATGTTATTTTTATAATGCTAGCAATATAGATAACTTTATAATTATTATTCCCATTATGATTATAATACTATTATCAAAATACTAATAGCAATAAAAGAATAAATAACAATATTTCAGAAAACCAAAGTAAAGGGTTAATAGTTGAAATAGGTAGAAATAGTAACCAACTCAATGGTGATTAAGCACTTGTGGAGCCATCTACATATCAACTTAATTAACAAACTAAAATCACAATGGACATGGACATGCTATCCTCAACGGCAATGGTTTATGACTTAATACAATATTAAAAGCAGATGGCTGGTGTACATATTTCAAGCAAGCAAAGGCTGAGTTATTAAATCTATACAACAGTTTAACATGTGTAGAGTAAAATTTATGTATGAGGTATGGTCAGATTATCATGAATTAGTTGCATGATTTTTCTACTTGAAGATATTAAGAAAAAGTGATAAGTATGGTATAAAAATATTAGCCAGGTACGTATCAATTGCGTTTTGTCACAAGGCTTTGCTACATTAGGATTCTCTGGGCCAATTAATTTAGAAAAGACAACAGGACCTATGGATCATTCACTCCATCTTCAAAAGGAGGGTAGGTAAAAATAGAAGAAAAAAAAATCTTTGATAATCAAATATGAAACTCAGAAATTCTTCTATTACCATCTTGAAATTACAGATTGGTAAAAAAAAATCAGTTGCTGAATTCTTGAAAAATCAATGCTAATGTCTCTCAGGAAAGTCTACTTTTGGTCTTCATCAAGTACACAGTCCATGTTTAGGGACTGACACCTTGAAACAGCCAATGGATTATATAAAATCCTGAGAATTCTAAAGACAATAAGAATTTTGTTAATGAGAAAGCCATTCCCTGAATCTAGTACAAAATTTGTTTTCAATAAAATAAAACAAAGGGAATCATGCTCTCTGTCTCATATATATGCAATGCTAGGCTTGAAAAATGCATTAAATCTAGAAAGTCATAGTATGCTCTTAGACTTACGTGGTTAAAATATTATAGAGAGATTGCACATTGCTGTTGTCATCAGGTCCACTGAAGTAAGTGTGGTGACGGTCAGTGCGCAAGACGTCCTTACGAACCATATTGGTGACATACTTCACTTCCTCACTTATCTGCTGTATTGAAAGCACATGCTCAAAACTTGTTCATGCACTTCCTACAAACTTAACTTTAAATAATCAAAGTTCAAATAACTCCAAAGAATTTTACAGGATCTATCTTTTCTCTAAAACCTTACAAACAAATTCTGTATGAGGATATCAAATTCTTTCAAGTTGTATGCAGGAAAGAGAAATATGTGCACATGTTAGTTAATTAATGCCATACACTTTAAAAAGCAATGCCACTGTTGTTTCACCAAAGTACCTTAGGAACAGCAACCAAAGGTTATAGTGTCTTTTCTTTATGGTCAGCATAAAGAGCAAGCACTCTGATGATCTACCAGGACCAGTGTATAATACTAAGCATGTAATCCAAAACAGCACACAGAATCTGATACTCTTAGCACATCATTTTTATCATTGGCTCACATTTCTTCTAACAAAGCTACACTCTTGAGAAATGCACGGCAAAAAGCATAAGTGCACAATAATTAAAATTGGGAGAATCAAGTCCAAACCTTCTCTTCATTCTTCATATGCTCTTGCCAGACATTTTTGAGGCTTTCATACTCCTGAGTCTTCTTCTTCATGTAGTCCAGCCTTTCACGCCCAGTAAGCCCTTCTGGATACACATTCAATAAGTGTTTCCACACCACTTTTCTGTTAAAGAGAGGTCAGGTCAACAATAGGAAATATTAACAATTATTATTTTTCTCTTGTATATCAAATTCCTACAAGATAATGCCCAACACTAAAAATAATTTCTAAAAAAAATACTCATAGATATCTCAACAACTTCTAACATAAACATAAGAAAATGCCCACCTTAGTGAAGGTTCCAAGCCGCCAAGGTAAACACATAATCGCAATTCTTTTGGTTGAGCCAACTGACCCACCCGATTCAGCATATTCTGGAATTCACTGTCAGTCAAGGGAGGGCGGGGTGGTCTCAAGGAAGCTTCATCACCAGCTTCATCATTCCAGTTTAAGGCTTTCTGTACTATAGAGAGAGTCTTTTCCATCTGTTAAAAAAGTAGGCACACAATGAATATCAATACATATGAAAGAATATATATACATATTTCGTAACCTAATATCCCCAATACGGATTAACTTACAGACAATTATATCAGATATAAATTGTATTCTACAGAAACTATAGGTGAGCCCACAATCAGTTGCTAATCTCTGCCATTCAGCTAAGCTCACAGGCACCTTCAGCAGAAGCATTTTTTCCAATGATTACAGTGATATCTCTCATATGACACAAATTTAATAGGCAGTAAACATTTATCAATATATCATATAACCAATACAGTAAAACTCCCCAGTCCTTAGCTGACTGGGGAGCCTCCTGGTTCCCCATAGAACTCCACTTCACCTCCAGTACCCAGCCATAACAGTGGGAACTAACACCCACTACAATTACTCCATAATGATGTAGAGACCAGTTCAAGTTGTCATCTACCACAGCCCAACACTCTAATTGCCACCAGAAAAGATGGCACAGGTATGTCCCAGTGATCTTGACCACAGGTAAAAATTGCTATGCAACTAATCATGTAATACTTGTCATATACAATAACCAATTTGCACAAGTACCCTACCGGATGAGCTACTTAACCCATTTGCGACGGGTAAAAATGAACAAAAAATGGGGAAAATGCTGTGCTCATTTTTTATATTTTTTGTGAAATGTCTCTACACATAGATGGCTCTGCCTTACCTGATTTCACTTTTACTTGAATTGGCGGGAAAATGTATTTTTACTAGTGTTATGAATATCGATGGTTATTTTTATTATAAACATTATAATTACTATAATGTTATAAACATTTGTAACAGCAAAATAAGATAAAGCAAAATATTTTTGTAAATTAAAGAAAAGGGTTTTTTTCTTTTGCTCAATTTGAATGGTTAAAGTAATATGTATAGCTACTTGAATTCAGATTGTAGCAAATAATATCACATCACTTAACCCTGTGAAAGTATTGTACAAGGAACCAGCTTTTTGCAGACTTGGCAAATGCTTTGTGCCAGATAGAGATGTGGGGCCCATGGTCTTAAGTGTGATCAGATGGTTACTTTGTAAGTGTATGGTCTAGAAAAGGTGTTACTAGGAAACCAAAATAGACAACATAGAGGAAGAAATCAACAAGGATGAATAAGAGGAAAAAATCAATAAGGATGAATAAAACTTCCATGTGTTCACCTATTATTTCTAACTCTTACCCACTCATTCACTCCCCTGTCCCTTCACCCATCAGTCTTGCTTTGTCCTAGCTCTTGGTAGTAAAGGTCCCATAATTCCTTGATCTCTTGTCTATGGTTAAAGCTAAATATGGCGATTTTCTAAAGATAAAGGTATATAACAGGAATTAAATTTTGTTTCATGATGTGTGGTACCAAGAAAGTATTCACATTTCTCACATTCAGAAACCTTTTTATTGGTAATAACTTAGTTCTTTGATGATATGGGGAAAGTTTGTAGACTCCTATACAGTTTCAAAAACATTAATGCCCCTAAATGCTATTGGATTTTGGGCAACTTTTTCTTTTTCTAATATATCAACCTTGTTTCTCTACTGTCAGCTGTAATTAGTCCTACCCTCAGCAACAAGTCATTAACCCTATGTCTGCAGGTTTATGTATTGTCCACTTAAGATTTTTGTGAGTTTTGTTATCAACAGATGGCTCCACGTGTGCTAAGCCACCACAGAGTCTACGAGTTAGCCCTAGTGACCGTCCCTAACCCATTCGCAACGGGCATGTCACGTATCCGTGCCATGCCCACTGTGAGTTTATATGTTTAATTGTTTTAACGCATAGATGGCTACACTTATACTAAATCACCAATGAGACAGTTAAGAGATTTTACATTATCTTATTTTGCTATTACTAATATTTATAACATTATAGTAATTATAATGTTTATAATAAAAATAACACCATCTATATTCATAGCACTACGAAAATATTTTGCGTTATCTTATTTTGCTGTTACTAATGTTTATAGCATTATAGTAATTATAATGTTTATAATAAAAATAACCATTGATATTCATGGCACTAGTAAAAATACACTTTCCCACCAATTCCAGGAAAGGAGGAATCAGGTAAGGCAGAGCCATCTATGCGTAGAGACATTTCACAAAAAATATAAAAAAAGAGCCAGCATTTTCCCCATTTTTTTATTCATTTTCAACGATGCCTATGGGCTAATTTCCCCATTCCTTGAATTTGCAGGAAAAGGTGTTTTTTTCTAATACTGGTAATAGTGACATTAACATCCTTCTTATTGATATTATGATTATTAAATTGTTATTAAAATATTAATAACATCAAAGACAATAAAATAATAGAAATGAAGCTTTCAAAAATTCAAGGAAAAGGGTACACAGGACTAATAGCCAACTAGGCACTTGTAGAGCCATCTATGTGTAAAGACAATATATGAACTTTTATTACAGTGTTCATGGCCTTGTAGTTTTGCCACCAAATTGGGTTAAAATATTGTTATCTCAGGAGTGCTAATAAGTCTGCAATTACAGTTCATATGGGCCACCATAGTTTCTTATTGTACGTGAAATAAACAGGGAATTGTAATTTGGTTTGATTGAACACTTTACATACATACATGTGGGAATTTGCCAAAATTCCCACAAAAACATCTTTTTTTTATGACCATAAACATATTACTCAGAGGCAATGAGCAAGAAAGATTTTATCACCTGACATAATGGTTTTAGAAAGATGATAAGTGTTAAACACAAATCAGTTTGTCAGATCAGGATAAAACAAAAAGAACATAAATAATACACTCAGGTCATGACACATCACCATAATTCCCCAAATTAGCGCTGCATACAACTAAAACCTTTATCTATCTATCTATCTATATATCTCCATTCCCTTTCCAAATCTTATAAATTGCAAAAACTCATTTTGTTATTACTAAGGTTCTCCTACATGAGATCAAGGAGATGCTCATATATACTTGTAAATAAATCCTAATTTTCTGATTTACCAGCTTATCTTTGAGGGGATCACTGGCCAATGATGTGGCTGGAATCTAGGAGCTAGCTTCTTGAGCCTCAGTTCATGACTTGCTCCACGACTGTGCAACATTCAATTTGTACCAACATAGCCTTTCATTGTCTGCCTGCCAGGCATTGATAGCAGCTCTCTGAGGCAAGGGGATTAACCCATCACTGCCAGGTGAACAGAAATTCCTGAGCATGATAAACTCTGGCATCAAGCCGAATGTCCCGCTCCTCGCACTCTGGCATGTTGCCGTGCGTTCAGGCGCACTCCGCAGACCAAGCGGTTTGTTATGACGCCTATACACAGGCCCCATCCGGATCTGGTTAAATAAGGCTTCTGTATGAGGTTCACTGCTTAGTTTGATCTGTAAGAAAGCATCCACCAGCAGACCAATATTCTTATGAATATTGACTGACCTTGCTCACATCTCACTTTTTTTTTATTCATCATTGAAGGATAGCACTCACTATCTTTACTCAATTTTTGCTCTTAGAAGCCTTTCCTTAAATAATTAATAATTTCCTAAAGACATCTTCATACAAAATGAAAAGACGACAGTGAAACATACCTTTTCCTTAAACAATCCTGGGAGCTTAGTAGAATAATTATTTCTAGGAAGATCTGGTAGGGAGAGCTTTGGAATGTCCATGTTGGTCACAGCGTCCCAAGTGCCATTTGAGGATAAGATTTCCACCTTCACCAAAAGGTAAGGATCTGAAGACCTGTTGGTATGAAAAGGAAAAAAATAAATTACACAGAGTAAGAATGCAAAAACAACTTTCTTCTTAGTTCTACTCCTGTGATTACTAATTAATCTCAGCAAAATACAGTTAGATAATCAAGACTTTAAAGATAAGTCAAAATCTGACTTATTCTATCTTATGGAACTTAACCCAATCGGCAGGTATGGACAGAATACATGACATGCCCACTTTAATACAAGTTTATTTACTGTATTAATACATAGATGGCTCTACAAGTGATTAGTCACCAAGGGAGTCAGTTATTAGTCCTACCTACCTTAGTCTCACCTGTTTACCCTTTTCCCTGAATTTTGGAAAGGGTCTTTTGTATTATTTAATTGTCTTAAATGGTATCAAGATCTTAATAACAATCTAATAATCATAACATCAATAACAATAATAACAGTATCGATATCAACTGTATTAAAAAGAACAACACATTTTCTCACCAATTCAAGGAATGGGGAAATCAGGATTGGTTACTAAGGCCTACTAATAGATTCCTTGCTGGCTGAGCACATGTGGAGCCATCTGTATGTAACAAAATTCACAAAAAAACTACAGGGGGCAGAACATAAATCTGGGGCAGTTGGGTTAAAATGATTTAAGAATACTGGTACTAAGTTCCTTCTACAATTAGCAAAATCTGATACTAATAATAAAAAAATGCAAACAGATAAAAAAAAAACACCCTTAAAAAAACACACTATGTAAGATTGATCCCTGCAATCATAATCAACATCTATAGCACAAGCCCCAGGAAGAAGCTCATCAGCTACACTTGCAATTCAGTCTAAAAAATCTTCTAAGGTTTTCTAAATATTTTCAGATGTGTATATACTATGCATATGTGCATGTGTGTGTGTGTGTGTGTGTGTGTGTGTGTGTGTGTGTGTGTGTGTGTGTGTGTGTGTGTGTGTGTGTGTGTGTGTGTGTGTGTGTGTGTGTGTGTGCATGTGTGTGTGTGTGTGTGCATGTGTGTGTGTGTGTGTGTGGGTGTGTGGATGTGTGGATGTGTGGATGTGTGGGTGTGTGGATGTATGTATGTGTGGGTATGGGTGTGGGTATGGGTGTGGGTATGGGTGTGGGTATGGGTGTGGGTGTGTGGGTGTGTATGTGTGGGTGTGTATGTGTGGGTGTGTATGTGTGGGTGTGGGTGTGTATGTGTGGGTGTGTGTGTGAGTGTGTGTGGGTGTGTGGATGTGTGGGTATGGGTGTGGGTGTGTTGGTGTGTAAGTGTGGGTGTGTATGTGTGGGTGTGTATGTGTGGGTGTGTATGTGTGGGTGTGGGTGTGGGTGTGGGAGTGGGTGTGTATGTGTGGGAGTGGGTGTGTATGTGTGGGTGTGGGTGTGTATGTGTGGGTGTGAGTGTGTATGTGTGGGTGTGGGTGTGCGTGTGTGCATG